TCTGAGATACCTACTGGGGAGCTGGAAGCCTCTGAGATACCTACTGGGGAGCTGGGAGCTTCCGAGATACCTACTGGGGAGCTGGGAGCCTCTGATATACCTACTGGGGAGCTGGAAGCCTCTGGGATACCTACTGGGGAGCTGGGAGCTTCTGAGATACCTACTGGGGAGCTGGAAGCCTCTGAGATACCTACTGGGGAGCTGGGAGCTTCCGAGATACCTACTGGGGAGCTGGGAGCCTCTGATATACCTACTGGGGAGCTGGAAGCCTCTGGGATACCTACTGGGGAGCTGGGAGCTTCTGAGATACCTACTGGGGAGCTGGAAGCCTCTGAGATACCTACTGGGGAGCTGGAAGCCTCTGAGATACCTACTGGGGAGCTGGGAGCTTCTGGGATACCTACTGGGGAGCTGAGATCTTCTGGGATACCTACTGGGGAGCTGGGAGCTTCTGGGATACCTACTGGGGAGCTTCTGAGATATCTACTGGGGAGCTGGAAGCCACTGAGATACCTACTGGGGAGCTGGGAGCCTCTGAGATACCTACTGGGGAGCTGGGAGCCTCTGAGATACCTACTGGGGAGCTGGGAGCTTCTGAGATACCTACTGGGGAGCTGGAAGCCTCTGAGATACCTACTGGGGAGCTGGGAGCCTCTGAGATACCTAATGGGGAGCTGGGAGCTTCCGAGATACCTACTGGGGAGCTCGGAGCTTCTGAGATACCTACTGGGGAGCTGGGAGCTTCTGAGATACCTACTGGGGAGCTGGAAGCCTCTGAGATACCTACTGGGGAGCTGGAAGCCTCTGAGATACCTACTGTGTAGGAAGGTGACCAAAGGAGCCCACTCGGGACCAGGTAGTTGGGGCAATGAGAGCCGGATGCTGATTGGAGACGAGAGTCTTATGGGGCCGATGTGACTCCCCCAACATACTAATCTGATGGAATACAATCTGCAGGCCGGTGGCCATGTTTTGGGATTTCTGTTATTAGAATTGATTTTATCGGAGTGGAGCCGAGTTAGATGATATTTCGTTGGCTCCGCGCGCTCTCTATTAGAGGCAATAGTCTTTATTCTTTGTTCCATCTCAGTGCTGCTGGTCTCCTGCAGCCTCGTTGCAGCCACTTCCCGCCTACGTGCACTTCAGCTGCATGGCATTTTCTTGGGAAGGGGGAGGGGGATCACCCTATAACAGGAAGTGTCTGTACAAGGATCTCCATGGCGGGATCACCGGGGATTATTATAATGAAAGCTGCAGACTGGAAGAAATGGGGATTGCACCCCGCCTCGCGGCTCTGGCTGTACGATTGAGTCGGCTGCTGTCCCTTTAGCAGGTCTGACGTTGCATCTGGGTGACATTTCACACAATTCACACAAACCTGCGACTCTTCATTCTTTGCTGCGGTGGAATGGAGGGGGAGGGGACGGTCAATAAATAACAGATTTTAAAGGGATTTTCGAGTCAAAAGGCAAAAAAAAAGTGACGCACGCGATGTGTTCGGGTGGCGGGAAGCTTCCGGAGAGTCAGGACAGGGAGGACATTTCGGTTAGTCGCAGGGGCGCCGAATTGTCCTCGTCGTCTATGGAATGTGTTTGGGGGACGAAGAGGCAGCAGAGCAAATGTTCTCTAGTATGGCCAGAAGTGGTGGGACTGGACGGACACAAGGCTGCAGCCAACAACAATACAGGAGGGTATGCTGTCAGCCAATGTGATATCAGGAGGATAAAGTGCCGACCGAGCCGGGAAATCTCATCTAATCATCTATCTATAGGTATCTATCAATACTAATCTATAATCAATCATCTTCTTCTCTTCAGTGAGGATTGTATTATACAAAGTATCAGAGAAGCGACATTTCCCGATATTATTGGTCATGTGACTTCATATCAGGTGGGGGCAGATTAGATTGGGGTCACCGTCCTCCGGTGGGGGGGCAGATTAGATTGGGGTC